ATATTTTTTATTTTTTGAAGGAAATATTTGTATAGGAAATAATCAAATTCCATATGAAACGAAGTGAAAATAAACTTGTAAAAAAAATAAGACAGGAAAATTTTTTTGCCATTCTTTTGCCATCTGTGGTTGAAATTATAGAGAGAGAGAGAGAGAGAGAGAGAGAGAGAGAGAGAGATACATATTTTTTGAAGGAAATATTTGTATAGGAAATAATCAAATTCCATATGAAACGAAGTGAAAATAAACTTGTAAAAAAAATAAGACAGGAAAATTTTTTTGCCATTCTTTTGCCATCTGTGAAAGAACGTTGAAATTATTTGGAGATACGGAAGGAAAAAATAGTATCGAGACCTTCTCCAGTAAGTTGTATTGCTCTGATTTTACCTCATTGAATACAAATAATTAACTCTTTGTTGATTTAAGGTAAACAATGTTTGGTTTGCCTGTGTTCTTTAGAAATAACCATTCTCAAAATCCTCAAAGAGGAACTTAATTGTCCAGTTGTTGCTGCAATGGAAAAGGAGGTTAAATCAAGCAAACTGAAGAATATATGAAAAAGAATTCTTTTGTTTAAATTTTGGTTTTAGCTGTGATTGCTGTAACAAAAGAGAAGTTACAGAGGCATCACGATGTGGCAGGGTGAATTTAGTTTAGTGCCTTCTTTAAGAAAAACATACGTGAGAAAAAGCCAAATTGGGAACTGCAAGGGAAGGACGAATTCAACTGAAAATACCTAAGAGCTTTTGAAAGGAATTTAATGATATTTTGTTTCAGACCAGACAATTGTAATTCATGACAATAAAATGACTAGTTACAAATACTTGTACAGAAATCATGAAGTTCCACATGGAAAGAATTCAAAGGACGCTTGTCCTAAAAAAACGGCAAGTTATTTGCTATGTTTCTGTAGTCTGTAAAAGAAAGTTGAATTTCTTTGGAGAGACAGAAAAATAATATCAAGAACTTGTTGCATAATTTGGATGCATTTGGTTCACACTGTTGATTAAGTGTAATTTTATTTTTGTTGATTTGGGGGAAATATCTTTTTCACTTGGGTGTATTGGATAGAACCAAACATTCAAAATTTCTAAGAGTGCATTAATTGTCTATTCACTGTTGTAAGGAAAAATTAAGATTTAAAAAACAAAGAAATAGATAAATATAATCGTATATAGGAATGTTTTTATTTTAAAT